CCCACTGCCCTCAGCGCCTCCCCCGCTCCTCCTCTTCGTGATTCGTTCCGCTCCGCACTCCTGGCGACGGAAGGCGCGTCCATGTGACCGGGGAGGGGGTGCAAGCGTGACCCAGAGAGTCACCAGCCCAGGCTGCGGCCCGCCCATCCGCACCTGGGCTGGGTCAAGGACCCAGGACTGCCGGGTGACCCCAAGGTCGTAGTGCTGATTCCCGCTCCCGGGCCGCTCATCCCGGAGCCAGATGTTGATGGGACGGGGCAGCAACCGAGTCTTGTGCTCGGGGATTTCCAACTCAGAAGTGAGAACGGGGCAGCTGAGTTCTTGGCTGCCCTTCCTGGAGGCCTCAAAAGGCTTGCGCATCTTCTCGCAGGATAGTTCTGCGCTGCTTCCCACCCCCCACCTTCTCCAGCAAGATCATAAGCACAGAAGTAAGAACTCTCCTTGACCAAAATTCAGATTGTAGGATGAAAGAGCTTGGCCAAGTGATTTCCTAAGTATTCTCCACTACTAAATGGAAATAAGCCACTTCATTGGGCTCTTCACATAACAATAATATATAGAAAAAGTGCCTGATTGAAGAAAGACCCTGCATTTCAAGGTTTCCAACCTAACTAATGTCCCATTTAATGACGTAGATTATTCTAGAGATTCTCCAGTGGAAAGGTTTTATCCTTTTGCCTTGGAAGCTGGCCAGAAATTCTTTGCCAAATCATGCGTCCTGAGTTTTGGTTTGGAAAATGTGGTCACCATTGAGTTGAGAGACTGGTTCGGGCCACTGCCAGATGGCAGCTAGGAAAGGCCTTGGAGGGTGGCTTGGGAGGAAGAGGGGAGGCTCCGCCAGGAGAGTTGGGAGCCGGGGAGTTCTGTCCACCCTGGAAATCCCAGTTGCCCAGAACTAGCACCTTTCTAGAAGGAAATGAAGTTGTCCCTTGGGCTGTCTTCTCTCCCACCTTACTACCACACACATGTTCATCCTGCCCTAAGGGGAAAAGCAGTGGTCAGTCATCATTAGTTCTTCACGAGGTGGACCTATGGCATTGCTCCTGACCAGAAGGCTTCCATTAAAGCTTAGCGCTAAAAAGAAGGGCCTTATGACTCAGCGGCATCAGAACTTGGAATGTTTACCACCAGCAGGTGGCCCAGGAGGGGGTATTCTAGGGCAAGGCTGGCCGGTAGGGTTGTGTGGGAGTTGAAAGGCCTTGAGGAGCAAGAGGGACTACAGATCAGAAACAAGGATCTCTGGTGAAGAAGCACAGGCTCAGCTAGTGCGTGCATTCTACCTGCCTCCAGCAGGTAGTCTTTTCCACTTCCTAGAATCAAATTGCAAATGGAGAACAACCTTCTCTCCAAAACTTGCTGCATCTCCTTCTTAGTGATTCTTAAAGTCTCAAAACACCTTATGCAATCCTGGCCATACCACTTATAATACTATATTGTGAATGCCTATTTTCATGATTTTCCCCTGCTTAGACTCATCTACTTAGGGCAACCTACTAGATTGTAGAACAAATGAATGAATCTTCCCTCCATCTGGCTCTTAGCCCAGCCCTAAAATATCAGTAAATACTATAACAACATAAGGATAACAATAATGGCTATGATAATGGCCATTTATTAAGCATTCACTCTATTCCAAGCCCTGAGCAAGGTGTTTTTAAATATATTATCAAGTTTATGCTTCAAAATAACCCTATGAGTAAGATATTATTATGCCATTTTAAAAGGGAATGGAAGCTCAGAGAGACGAAATAACAGAAGCAAGATTCAGCCCAGGTTTGTCTTCCTGTGGAGCCTAAATAATCATGATGTTAATTCATGACTTGTGTCAATTATCAGTGTTCCTCAGAGTAAGCTGGAAACCTTTCTGGGATGTTGGAAAGACATCTCTAAGAATGAAAGGCCTTTGACCACAGTGACACTACCACTTTCCCTTATCCCCAGGCCAGCAGAGAGATGCCCTAGCTTCTGACATACAAATGGTTTCCCAAAGAAGGCTGTAATTGGCTTTACTTCCTCTACACCTCAAACAAATCAGGAACTGGGCTGCAGGCACCTTATTAAATCATGATCCACCCTTGGCAGTGAATTTCATACATAAGTGCCCTGAGTTTATCCAGGACTTTTGCGGAAGCATTCCAAGTGCCATTTGCTTATTAATCCTCCCAGTGTCCCTGTGAGGCAAAACTGGCAGCATTCTTGGCTGATTTTATAGAGTGTTAGCTCCTTGAGAGCAGGAGCTGTGTGGGCCTGCCACACACATGGGTTGGAGAAAGAGTAATGATGATATGGCAAAGAAATGCAAGCCCTGATGTTCAAACACAACCCAGGTGCCTAGTTCCCACAATGGGCCTCCATGCTGTTTTATCTGGCATTCTTGCATTGCCATGTAGTTGCTATGTAACCTTGGAAAGGTACTTCATATCTCTGAGTCTCAATTTCCCCATTTATAAAATGGAAAAGGTAACACCATCTCATAAAATGTGTTTTTGGAAACTGAAGGAGTTAGTGTACATATTCATGGAACACTGTGATGGACACGTGTTAAGTGTTTAATAAATATTAGCTAAATATTAATACTATTAGAATGGTACTCAGTACTGTAGAATGAATAAATGGAATTAGCTTTGATATCACTGGTTCTGTTGAGTTCATTTTAAAATTACAGGCCTGTAATCCCAGCAGCTTGGGAGGCTGAGACAGGAGGATTGCAAGTTCAAAGCCAGCCTCAGCAACTTAGCAAGGCCCTAAGCAACTCAGTGAGACCCTGTCTATAAATAAAATACAAAATAGGGCTGGGGATGTGGCTCAGTGGCCAAGTACCCTGAATTCAATCTCCGGTACCCAAAAAATAAAATAATAATAATAAAATAAAACAGGCTCTAACCTACACACAGTGGCATGTACTTATATTTCCAGCTATTCATGAAGCTGAGGCGGGAGGATCACTTGAACCCAGGACTTCAAGACCTCATATATAAAAATAAATAAATATAAAGCTGTAGACTCTGCTACTTACTATTAGGTTTGTGACAGTGGACAGATGTCTTCATGAAAAAAACTCTGTACTCCTCTATCATATGGGATGATAGCTCTGAAATGATGAGCTTGAAAGTTCTTTGTAAACTGACAAGCACTGTAAAGACATTAGAGATTGCCAGGCATGCTGGCACATGCCCATAATCCCAGATACTCCAGCAGCTGAAGCAGGAAGATTGCAAGTTCAAGCCAGCCTCACAAATTAGTGAGACCCTGTCCAAAGAAATAGGGGCTGGGGATGTGACTCAGTAGTAGAGCATTTTCCTGGCATGCATGAGGCCCTGAATTTGATCCTCAGCACTGCAAAATAAATAAATAAAATCATAACTAGATATATAGACAGACTGATCTTAAAAGGGGAGCTGGGAATGTGGCTCAATGGTAGAAGACCCAGGGTTCAATCCCCAATACAGGGGGGGGGTGTTGAGGAGAATGAAAAGAAATATGGGTGTGGTCCAGGCATTTGTACAGCCTGTAATCCTAGCAACTCTGGAGGGTGAGCCAGGGGAATCAAAAGTTGGAGGTTAGCCTCATCTCAAGTTTGAGACCAGATTCAACAACTTAGAGAAACCAAATGGGGAGGTAATTCAGTAGTAATGTGCCTCTGAGTTCAATCCCAGTATCCTCCCCCCCCAAAAAAAAGTATATTTAGAGTAGCTGGCACAGGGGAAGGTGGTCCATAAAAGTTACTTTCCTACCCCCTAACAAACAAGTCTTGCCTTTCAATGACCTAAGTAAAGGAAATGACAGGGTGTGGTGGGAAATGTATGCAACCAACAGAGCTGGGGTTATTTCTGGCTTTGCCACTTGGTGACCTTGAGGAATTTACCTATCCTCATTGGGCCTTCTGATTCCTTGCCTCTAATACTAAAAAAAAAAAAAAAAAAAATTAGGAAGAGAAGAGCAATAGAGGGTACCCTGTCTCATAGTAAGGGACTGCTCAATAAGCCAGAGCTACTAAGGAATATACTGACACTTATGAAGTACTCTTATGAAAAGGACTCAGTTGGGCCCAGAGGCTGGTGCAGGTCTGTAATTTCAGGGACTCAGAAGGTTGAGGCAGGAATTTAGCAAATTTGAGGCCAGCCTCAGCAACTTGGCAAAACCTTGTCTCAAAAAATTTTGTACTGGGGATTGATCCAGGGAGCTTTACCACTGAGCTAAGTCCCCAGCCCTTTTTATTTTTAATTTTGAAACAGGATGTTGCTAAGTTGTTTAAGGCCTCACTACATTGCTAAGGCTGGCTTCGAATTGCAATCCTCCTGCCTCAGCCTCTCAAATCGCTGGGATTACAGGCATGCACCATGGTGCCCAGCCTCAAAGTAAAATTTTGACAAAGGGGCTGGAGCTCAGTGGTGAAGTTCCCTGGGTTTAATCCCCAGTGCAAAAAAAAACAAAACAAAACAAAAAAAAACATCTCAGTTGGAAGTAACAACTAAAACCAAATGGGGTCATAAACTGCAAAATAAATGATCCGGGCTTTACAAAGTTCAGATGAGCATGGGAGGTTCCCGCCTACCACTATTGAGCTCGCCTGGCCCCTGCCAATGGATCGGTCAGGAGAAGGCCGTGAGAGGGCCAAACCCTCTCAAGAGTGATAACCAAGGAGGAGAAGGGGCGGGGGCAGGAGGAGGAATGTACTGATTCACCGCCCCACCCATCCCCTGACTCTAATCTCTCTTCCGGAATTTTACAGCCCTCTTTTACAGGGACCAGGGCTTAGGGGGCAGGGCGACGGTTCCAGCTGGCTGAGAGCTCTCGTCACCCACTACTCTTGCCTTGCCAATCAACTTGCGCAGGAAGCCTCTAGGAGTCCCACGCCGACCGCCGGCAGCCTGCTCTCAGCTGCCTCCTAGACCCCCAAGACTCCCCTGCGGGACGCACTTTGCAGGAGCCCAGCCGGGAGGTGAAGAAGCTGTGAATTCCAGGAGACCTCTAGGCTCGCTGCGGGTAGGGTAGGGGTCTCCGGCCAGCCAGAGTTCCCTCTCCTGTTGCCAGTTGGAGCTGGAAAACTTTGGCTGAAGCAGGGTGTGGGCCCCAGAGGACTAGAAGGCTGTGGCCTCCTTCCAGATACTTCCCAGGGGCCATTGGCAATCAATAAGGATACCCATCTCCACCACCATAAGGTGAAACTGGATTTTGACCAAAGGAAGAAAAAAACGACTACAGGAACTGACAAGGATTGGAAGAGGGAAAAGTTGAGGAACTCGGCTCAGCCTCCTGGTTTCATCTTACAGATGGGGCAACTGAGGCCCTAGGGGGCGGGGATCTGCCCAAGGCAGTCCCGAGAACTAACAGTGGAGCTTCTTAGGTTTAGTTCACAGCATATCCTGATACCTTGCAACTCAATTTCTCTGTTTGGCAGGAGGAAAATATCAAAGAATTTATTAATAACTGAAGCTAGCCCTGTTGGAACTGAGGCAGCAAATCTCCCTACAACAAGGGATTAAGAAGTAATAATGCTCACAGCTAACATTTATTAAGCATTTACTATGTACCAGGAGATGTTCTGATCACTTTATGTTAACTAATTTTCAATTCCAGGAGGTAATACTATCCCTGTTTTATATTATTATCCCTATTCTTACTCTATTATCCCTATTCTGTAGGGAAACAGTAACAGCAATCCAAATGACCAAAGTCACCTCGCTAGTATAGGATAAAGCCTGGAGGATTTGAACTCAACAGATATTTTTCCAGGGGAACTCAGACCTCAAGAGTATTTTTCCAGGCCCCACACCCTCAACCACTATGGGTTGGCTTCTAATGAGAATGTGGTTACAATCTACTTGTGTTCTGGATGTTGGTTTAAGAGTGTAAACTCTTCATTATAGACACTCTTGCAGAGTGACTTAGATTATCTGGGCCTGTATAAATGTTTAATATATGCTCTCTGACCAGATAATGTTTCTACACACTGAGACCTCAAAGCACCAGGTTAAGTGGGGCAATCAAGGTCACATTGTAAATTTGAGAAGACTCCTTCCCCCATGGTGCAGAGCTTTCTTAATTCTGTCCGGTGCTATGGTCAGAAGCTTGACTTTCTCCCCAACAGTGGGTCCCAGTTCCTTTAGTGATAACTTCTTGGACCCCATTACCAATCATATCAGTGATCCTAATTTGACTACTGCTATGTTTTCAAGGATGCTGAAAAGATTGCCTTACCCTCCCCCAAACATATTCCCTATCCTGTCCTCAAGTTTATATGTGTAGAAAATGCACACTTGGACATTTTCCTTCTTGGTTTAAAGCCAAACTGGCAGTTCATCTTTTATTAAAATTCAAACATCACAAGAGAAAAAAATAAACTGGGCCTCATAAGCCATTTTCATGTAATGAGAATAAGATTACCAGATCCTTCTTCCCTAAAAACAAGTTTCCATAGGATAAAAACTAGGACTACTAACTCACCTGAATTCATATCTGCAAGAACCTCAGGAGTCATCTAGGTAAAATCTCCTTTTAAAGGCCCAGGTAAGGAAGAAGAGTCTTCTACATCACTATAGATACTGGTCCTGGGAAGGGACCAGTGTGAGGAGGGAAACAGAGGGGTGGACAGAGAGACAAGAGACTAGGTTAACTTCAATGTCAGAAAGCTTCTATTCGTGATTTTTAAAATCTTCCCCACACCACCACTGAAAAATGATATATGCATTTAATGGTGTGTAAATTATACTTTAATAAAACTATTTTTAAAAAAGTATAAGAAGAATGGTTTTATATTTATTTGTTTGTTTATTGGTACCAGGGATTGAACCCAGGGGCACTTAACCACTGAGCAACATCCTTTTTATTTACTTATTTTGAGACAGGGTCTCACTAAATTGTGGGGGTTGGCTTTGCACTTGCTATCCTCCTGCCTCAGCCTCTGAAATCACTGGGATTACAAGCTTGCCCTACCCACCACATCCCTAGTACCCAGGGGGGAGGGGTACTAGGAATTGAACTCAGGGGCACTCAACCACTGAGCCACATCCCCAACCCTATTTTGTATTTTATTTAGAGACAGGGTCTCACTGAGTTGCTTAGCTCCTTGCGGTTGCTGAGGTTGGCGCTGGGATTACAGGCGTGCACCACTGCACCCGACTCCACATCCAGTTTATTTTTTAATTAGAAATGGATACTTAATAAAGTAAAAGTCCCTTGCAGATCTATACAGAGAAAGAACTACTATTAATGATTTGGATTATATTGTCTCTCCAGATTTTTTTTTCTTCTGTATGTTCGTGTTTTTTTCTGTATATTGGGGTGAATGTATATGTTTAACAGAAGTAGGGTTGTTTTCCTTAATGATATTTCTTGGGCAGCTTTTCATATCAGTACGTTTAGATATAACTTGTTCTTTTTAAATGCTGCCTACATGGTATGGCCAAACTATAATTTACTTAACAGGTTCCCTATTGAAAATTATTTGGGTTATTTCCAGTCTTTTCCTATTAGAAGCAATACTGCAATAGACATTTTTTTAAATATTTTTTTTTAAATTGTAGGTGAATACAATACCTTTATTTTATTTATTTATATGTGTGCTGAGGATCAAACCCTGGGCCCCACATGTGCTAGGCAAGCACTCCACCACTGACCCACAACCCCAGCCCTGCAGTAGACATTTTTGCACATACATCTTAGAGCATTTTGAAGGGAATTCTATAGGATAAATTCCCAGGGAAACTTCCTTTTAAAACATGCCTCATCAATTATAATTTTAATCTTATTCCAAATGCCCTGACATAAAATCCTATTCCTGATCAAAATCACATAAAATGCTTAGCATACAATACACATGAAACAAATGCTCGCTATTTTCATGGTCATGATATTATTAGCCCAGTGCATGAATATTCATTCCTTTGGTCAACAATTATTGATGAGTTTCTGCCATGTGATGGGTCCCAGGATTCAACAGTAAATAGCCATAGACCTTGCCCTCAAGAAGTTGATATTGATGAGGTGTCAGCTGGGAATTACAACACCTGAGATTAATACATAAAAGTGGAGAGGTGAGGAAATGTGTAGGAGAGACATCCCACTACTTGAAGAAGGGTAGACAAGGGAAGGGCTCAGAGTTGTAACAGCTGGGGATGTGGCTCAGAGATAGAGTGCTTGCCAAGCATGTGCAAGGCCCTGGGTTCATCCCTGGCAACACACACACACACACACACACACACACACACACACACTAAATAAAAGTGGGTGTGGCCCGCACTTGTAATCCTAACCACTCAGGAGACTGAGGCAGGAGGATCTTGAGTTCAAAGCCAGCCTCATCGACTTAATGAGGTACTTAGCAACATAGCAAGACCCTGTCTCTAAAGAAAATACTAAAAAGGGCTAGGGATGTGGCCCAGTGGTTAAGTGTCCCCGGGTTTAATCCCTGGTGCTAAAAAAAGTAAAAGAATAAATAACAGCTTGAATCAACCTAAGAGGAAGAGTGACAAGCACCCCAGTTATCAGAAGTATCCAAGCAGAGACCAAGACATCATCCCCAAGAAATACTGGTAAGAACAGTAAACCAGAGTTTACTAGTTCTCAAATGTCCACCTTCAGACTGATGCTAGTGCATGGAAAAGTATGCTAAATAAATGATTAAGAGGTGAATTTATGTGTGCTAAATTTATATGGTTTAAGGAACAGTATTGTATTTTTTTTTTAATATTTATTTATTTTTTAGTTTCGGCGGACACAACATCTTTGTTTGTATGTGGTGCTAAGGATCGAACCCGGGCCACACGCATGCCAGGCAAGCACACTACCACTTGAGCCACATCCCCAGCCCAGTATTGTATTTTGAAAGTATGTACCCTTCCTACCTTTTGATATTAAAATGTGAAACAAGCTAGGTGTGCGGCCCACGCCTCTAATCCCAGGGACTTGAAAGGTTGAAGAAGGAGGATGGCAAGTTTGAGGCCAGCCTCAGCAACTTAGTGAGGCCCTAAGCCACTTAGGGAGATCCTGTCTCAAATAAAAAATAAAAAAGGCTGGGGGGCTGGGGTTGAAGCAATAAAGATATTGTGTCCACGTACAACTAAAAAAATTATATAAAAATTAAAAAGTGGGGGGCTAAGGATGTGGCTTAGTGGTTAAGGGTCCTCAGGTTCAATCTCCAGTACCAAAATAAATAAATAAATAAAATGTGAAACAAGATAGTTGCAGCTTTTGATGTTCTTGTTTGGCTAGACTAAAAGCTGGCAACTGTATCTTTGTCTCCCTTCTTATTTTTTAAACTTTTAACTATTGATAATATCTGAAAGTTGGAGGGTCTCTGGACCAGATGACTTCTAAGATTCTTTCCATCCCTGTGATTATAAGATTCTCTGCTCCGCAGTGATTAAGGCCTGAAGCTAAATTGAGTTTAGAATCTGTGAGCCAAATCATTTTCAACAGACCCAGGGTAAAAATAAATACATAAGTGCATGAGTAAGTAAAAGAAAGACAAGAATTTGGTACTTTCTAAAATCCTCTTTATTTTTTGGCTCCCAGACTAGCAAAGACTTTCCTTACAGACTTGCTTCCCTGCTCTGAGAAAATGCAGCACTGACGAGAGACCACAGAATAACAGATAGAAGTGATATGGGAAAAATCAATTTAGTGCAGTTTTCACAAACCTTTAAAATGGAGCAATTTAAGTGATGATGGGGTTTCATGACCAGCTGCAGCAGAGCCTCCGAAGGGAATGCTGGTGTTTTCCAGCACTTCTCTGAGTGGGTGGGAAGGAAAAAAACATGATTTTTTCCTCCCCTTTCTATTTAGAAAAAAATGGAGGCAATGAAATGCAAGTCTCCCATATTGTCCCATTAAGGAGAACAAATGAAATGCCACTGCCTTGTCGCCAGAAATGTAAACCCTCAGACAGGCACTGGGCAGGCCTTCCTGTGATGCTGCACAAGCTAAGTACCCACCAACATACCTGGCACTGCCATTACCATGGCAACTCCTCACCTTTTGCATTCCTTAACTTGGGGCTGAGACTGGTACAGGGCAGTTGAGTTTTCATAATTCTCCTTGGCTTCTGGACAAGGAAAGGGGAGGGCAGGGGAAAGATTCTAAACCTTCTGACCTGCTGCCTTGACTCTGCTCTTCAGCTTATGTACCTAGGCCTCACCAGGCAAGGGGAGGCCTTCGGCAGAGGGAGGGAGTGGAAATGACTCTTGGAACCAACAGACCTAGGATCAAATCGCAGCTCCTCCAGGGATCCATTTTCCCCCCAATTCAAACAACCTGTCCTCTGAGCTAGGCCCTACCAGATGCAGAGCTAACAGAATAGCCAGAGGGGTCCACAGAAACTGGCAGTCCAGGGGCAAAGCTGGGTGAACAGATGATCAGAGCCAGATGATCAGCACTTAGGCAGGGGCTGGTTCTATCACCTCCTGGGGAGGGGGAGCCATGTGAAACCCAAACTGCATTTCGAGGGACTCTTGGAAGACTCTTGGAGTTAGGAGTACTCTTGAGCCCCCCAGAGTTCAGCATGAGGTCATCAATAATAGTGTTGAGATTTATACTCAGGCTCAGGAAAGTGAATAGACTTGCCTAAGGTCACAGTTTCCCCATCTGTAAGCCAAAGCAATAATAACTCTCTATTTTTCTTGAAAAGATCACATAATTAACACATAGGATGAAGCAAAGACCAAATAGACCTGGTTCCTAACCCAGATTCTCCAATACCCAGCTGAGTGACCTGGGTTAATTCGGAACTTTAACCCCTCTCAGTCTCAGTTCCCTAACTCATAAAAGAGTAATTGTAATCTTGCTAACTTGCAAGAGTGTTGCTAGAATTCAGAGGGTAATGCATGTAAATCATATAGGGCCATCATACAATAAAATGGCAGCTGCTGTTGGGCACAATGGAGCACACCTGTAAATCCAGCAACTCAGGAGGCTGAGGCAGGGGAATTACAAGTTCGAGATCAGCTTCAGCAACACCTAGTGATACCCTAAACAACTTAGTAAGACTCTGTCTCAAAATAAAAAAGGACTTGGGATATTTAGTGGCAAAGTATCCCCGGGTTAAAAAAAAAAAAAAAGGAAAAAAAGAAAATGGCGGCAACTTTTGATCATAGATCAAGTGCCTGTGTGTCAGATATCATTATTGTTATTATTGTTAAAAGTGTAAGGAGCCTGGCACCTGGCTGACACTCCAAAAACCCTCAATGCTTTTGGAGTCTTTCCTCAGGCTACCCCATCTTTGCCTTTTCTCTAGCTTTTAGATGTGTTGGCAAGTTACCTTTGAGACCCAGGAGGGTACAGCTGGAGTCTATGTCACCTCCTCAGCATAGCCCCTTCACCCCAGCTTTAGCCTCTTGCCTAGGCCAAATGAAGGGGAGAGGGTTTGGGCCTGCCCCCCTGGGCTCCTCTGGAGACTGAGGTGGGGGAAAAGGCATGGAGTGCGTCAATTCTGATGCAATTGCAGGCTCATTATTTGGCCCATTTCCTCCTCTTTGGGTGTTTACTGGCACCTGAATTTCACAGGAACCTTTGGAAGTGTGTACTGACAACTCAGGGCAGGCAGCATGCAAAATTGTTCCTGCTTCAGGGACAGTTTAGGAAGAAAGTGATACTGTGCCTGCCTGGGCCTCACAAGCCCTGGGCTCAGGGACACAGGAAAGAGATACCAGGTGTCAAGTCCACAGGGAGAGGCAGGAAGGCAGGCCAGAGGAGGGAGACATGGTTGAGGACAAACTTCTGGCTGATGCCAGGCCCAGCTTC